AAAATCAGTGAAAATAAACTCCACACAAAATACCAAAATTTTCTTTTGGGCAAAATTTCATTCCAGTTAAAATAAATTATTTTTTACAGGACATCATTTAACACAACAAACACATGTACGTCCTCTCTAGATGATACTCAACTTACATTTGAGAGGACTCTTCTTCTATAGCCAGAATCGACACAATGTTTTGAGTAAAAATTATGATGAACATCTAGATTTTCAAAAATCAAACATGATTTTATTAAAACCATTTCCTACCTGTCTGAGGACCATGAGTTCTTTAATTTCTTTTTCATAAGTTTCACAGTCTTCACTATAATGTTCTAAAATAAAATCCTGGAATGACAATATAGATATTTGAGCACTCCACTTGTAACATTAACATATACCGTATTTGCACTATTAATAGCACACGTACAACACACTTGCGAAAAAAGACAAATGTATGTCTATGGTCAACAGAAGTCGTACTTTAATGATGCGTTTCTAATACAGCAAATACGGTCATTCTATTTCGGTCGAATTTGATTTGCGAGTTTGATTAGAATATTAATGTACTGCGGGAAAAATTAGAAAATTAACACCAGTGAACAATCATTTTCAAAAAAGCTTCAATGGTAAGAATCTAGGTCATGACCTCTGAAGGTCACCTGGCTTTTTCCCTTCAGAAAGTATCAGGATGTTTACATGACCTTATTGTAATTTATTAACAGATTTTTAATTTCACTGCAAATTTGTGGTAACAATCTGTTGATCACAGAAGCACCGACAGCTTTGAAATAATTTGAGGAGTGGGTTTTGGGATAGTTACTGTGACTCACTGTCGTATAGATCCCGATGTTCACTGTTACAAAATGTGATGACTTTCTTGGACTTGTATAATTAGCAAAAAATTGTCTTCCATGAAAATAAAGCAGGGGAGCGCGCAGCAGCCATAAAACCTAGCATTGAATATTAGCTTATTTTTGGCCATTTAACAAAAAAGATAAACACTTTGAATACAGTGTTTCTTAAGTCAACGTTCTGCTCTGTTAACAACAGCGAAAACAACATTGGTGTTCTCAATAGATTCTAAGCCTATTGTTGCCGAGATACCTGGGCTAGTTTTTTGTCAAGTGCGGCAAATGATCTGAATTATCAACAGACGTTGATGGAATACCCTAAATGCGAAAACTAGAAGATACAGTATTCGGTTTTAAGATAATAATCTGTGACCTACTATATATAACATTTTACCTCATACCACAACCACCCCCCTCCATACCCATCATGCAACACTCACTTTAAATGGAACTGTGAAGTCCACTTCTTTGGTTTCTTTCAAGCCCTAAGGGAATCATTGGAACACTGGACATCTGGCTGTCATTCTGGTAAGCCTCCACATCGCTGTTCAGCTCTTCAAGTTCCTCTTTCAGTAGTTGTAAATTGGAGTTGACAAAGCTGAGTTCCAACGCTACCTGCTCTTTTAATTTCTTATTTGTTGCCGCTCTATTGACATTAAAAATAGAAAGAAAAGATAAAATGTTAGTTTGTGACACAAGAGTATACTGTAAAACATGTTGAAAAAGCCGCATGCAATTTTAATGAACTGTGGTAAAATGACGCAATAGCGAAATGTTGATTTAGAGAATCTCTCTTGTCATTGTTGATTTCTTTGTTTGGCTGCCATTTTGAATTGATAATAAAGTCATTAGCGACATCTTGAATTAGCGAATCAGTTCTCTCGCTAAATTCGTGAAAAAGACATGTTTTACAGTAATTGTTCAATGAATGATGCAAAGCCAAGTAAACACTTTTTATATATGCTGGAAGAGCAATCTGTATTTGGGTGATCGATGCTTGATTTTTTTGTTTATATTTTCTAAACTACTGAAATCCATTTGCCTGAATACGAATTGCCCAAATTGCCTGAATAAAATTTTTAATTTAATTGCTACATCATAAAGAATTGGCTAGTCACACTTTGGTCAATGCAGATATCAACGATTAATTGATATAGCATGCAGGGACAACTTATTAATGTATGTTTGGAAAAGTAATATATTCAGATCACCGGCACGATATCAGCCAATCAAATAATGTCAGTCACCTACTGGAGTAGAGGAGAAATCTCAACAAGAAGACAAAAGATGAATTCATGTACGAGAGAGGGGGCCGTATATAACCAGTGGAAATTACCCACGAGGCTTGTAAATTCTGCTTTCAGGGATGTTTTGGATTTCAATATTTGGAGCCTAATTTTTCCTTGATATTTGCAACTCTTTCAAGAATGCGCATGACATTTTGTGAATATCCCTCGACTCAATTTTGTTAATTTGTTTTTCCCAAAAATAAATATGGCTTACAGCGTTGTGCACAAACAAAATAAGTCATGCATCATGATGTTACCTAGACAACAGCTGAAAAATTCATTTTAACCAATTTTACCTGTATTTGCCTTGTTAAGGAGTACACACAAACATATCATTGCATTTATTGTGTACTGGTTCATTTTATTTTGACCATAGACACTAGTTATTTACACAAGCACACCCACGGCAATGAACAAATACAGACTATTTTGACGGGGTATTCACATAAACACACACTTGTGGATATTCGCCACCAGTTTTTACAAAACAAAGTGATAAATAAACGTAGTAATAAGAATAGCCTTTATTAGACACACCTGGTACCATCAAGCAATAAATTATGTCACGCTCAGCACCATCATACTACCATATTAGGTAATACAAATTCCAAGTAAGGTTAATGCCTGTGCTTAATAATAATGATAAATTACGGCCATTTACTTGCGTGGACACATTTAATGAGTTTGATCTCGTTAAATTTAACAGAATAGTGTTTACATAAATTAAGATATTTGTGGTGCCAAAATATTACTGCCTTTCATGTTCATGTTTTCAATACAATAATGCACATTATATTATTATTATTTTATTTCCATTTCTCTAAAGAAATATACCCCACTAACCTAGGGGAACAGGTTACAATGCGAAAGTTACAAGTTACAGGCGTGACTTTTTTCGCCTCAATAAAATAAAGTATTATATATATATATATACACATACACACACATATACAACTCATCTATTGGAGAACTCACACTAACAAATTATATCTAATCTGAAAAGCTGTGTATACAAATCTTGCAATACTTTGGATGATTTCATGGTTATCCTGAGAAAAAATATATGTAAGTTTACGGATAGGCGAAAGGAACTCGAATTGTGGTTATAAAGAACTCCATGCTTCAAATTTGTTCAAACCTCAGTAAATTTTAATCAGAATAATTTCA